AGGAAGAAAACAGAAGGGAAATGATTGATAAGGTTGACAACATAAATAATTTAAAACATCTCTATGTCAAAAAAATGTCAAACAAAATTAAAGGGGAAAATAATAAACTGGGAAAGTGTTTGCAAATATATGAAAAGGATAATTACCTTACTATTTATTTTATTTTTCAAAGTAAAAAAATCATTAGGAAATTTGAATACACGAGTTAGAAAACAGACAAAGTACATAGAAGGCAATTCAATATATGAGGGGAAAAAATCCTTCTCTAGTAATTAAAGAAATTAGCAATGATAGGTGCTGGAAACAGGACTTTGCCTGCATTTCTAGTGAGGGTATAAATGAAGTTTAGTGTGACTATGGGGGAGGGGTGGAGACATTGGCTGTGTGCAATTTGCAGTAGGTATCATAAGCCTGCAACATGTACAGGCACTTTTACCCAAAAATTCTACTTCTAGAAATTGCTTAAAGTAAATAATAGTAAAACACAAGAAATAACTTAAAATGTCTAAAATAGGAGTTTGGTTAAACAGAGTATATCTTCTCCAGCCATTAAAAAACATCACAGAAGAATACTGAATAACATGAAAAAAATTGCAATATGGTAAGGAAAGACATCAAACTATAAAACTAAATGTATGGTAAGAACCCAATGTTTTCAATAAATGGTACACATATGTATGTAAAAAAATAGCAACAGATCTTACATTAAAATGTGAACAAGTTTGGGGCACCTAGATGGCTCAGTTGGTTAAGCACCTGACTCTTTTTTTTTTTTTAATTAAAAAAAAATTTTTTTTTATGTTTATTTAGTTCTTAGAGTGTGAGGCAGGAGAGGGACAGAGAGAGAGGGAGACACAGAATCTGAAACACGCTCAGCTCAGAGCCTGACACAGGGCTCAAACCCACGAGCTATGAGATCACAACCTGAGCTGAAGTCAGATACTCAACCAACTGGGCCACCCAGGCTCCCCAACCTTTAACTCTTGATTTCAGCTCAGGTTGAGCCACTGGGCATGGAGCCTGCTTGAGATTCTCTCTCTCTATCTCTCTCTCTCTCTCACTCACTCTCGCTCTCACTCTCGCGCTTGCTCTCCCTCTACTGCTCATGCTCTCTCTCCATCTAAAAAACAAAAAACAAACAAATAAACTTAAAAAATGTGAACAGGTTTAAATCTGGCTGAAGAAATATGGGTGACTAATTTTCTCTTTGTGCTTTTCTGTATTTTCCAAGTTTTCTGTAGTAAATAGTAATATTCTAATCAGAAAAAAAAATATTACAGGTAATAAAAATAATATAAAAGTGGTTTTTTAAATTTTAATGTTTTATATAGTGTTATTGCATAGAGTCTGTATCCTAAGCAGTAAAAATGTCCTTTTTACATGTACTAGCTGCACATAAAAGAAATTAAAATATGGACTCATTTTATGTTCTTTAGAAGTGTTAAGAAATTTTATACTCCTCTTTAAAGATGTACACATAATGGTTGCCTTTTTGTGGTGAAATCTTGACAATCATTCAACATGTAACACCAAGATTAATCAAGAATTACCACTAATAGGGGCAACTGGGTGGCTCAGTCAGCTAAGCACCTGACTTCCACTCAGGTCATGATTTCACAGTTCATGAGTTCGAGCCCCACATTGGGCTCTGCACTGACAGGTGGGAGCCTGCTTGGGATTCTCCATCTCCTTGCTCTCTGCCACTCCTCCCTCTCTGTCTCTCTCTAAAAAATAAATAAACATTTTTCGGGGCGCCTGGGTGGCGCAGTCAGTTAAGCGTCCGACTTCAGCCAGGTCACGATCTCGCGGTCCGTGAGTTCGAGCCCCGCGTCAGGCTCTGGGCTGATGGCTCAGAGCCTGGAGCCTGTTTCCGATTCTGTGTCTCCCTCTCTCTCTGCCCCTCCCCCGTTCATGCTCTGTCTCTCTCTGTCCCAAAAATAAATAAACGTTGAAACAATAAATAAATAAATAAATAAATAAATAAATAAATATTTTTTTATAAACCTTTCTTTTTTTTTTTTTTTTTAGTGTTGCTTTATTTTTTGAGAGAGAGAGACAGAGTGTGAGTAGGGGAGGGGCAGAGAGAGAGGGAGACACAGAATCTGAAGCAGGCTTAGGCTCTGAGCTGTCAGCACAGAGCCTGATATGGGGCTTGAACCCATGAGGTGTGAGGTCATGACTTGAGCCTAAGTTGGAAGCTTAGCTGACTGAGCCACCCCTAAAAAACACTCTTAAAAAAAAAAAAAAAAGAGTTACCATTAATATACTAACGAGGTAATTCTCATGACAAATAATAGAGGTACATATTCTCCTGGAACACCAATAGATAAAACGTATTAGATTACTAATTAGTAGTAGTAGTATTAGTAGTATTCCAAGGTGACTCACTCATGGTACCAAATTACTATGACAATTCTAGCACTGTCTGAAGTGTTTCACTGAATTACACTGAACTACAAGTATATATATATTAAGCTTTTATTTACTTACCTAATAGGACAATCTGTCAAATTTATGCACTAGAAAGGATTACATGAATATTTTCTTTTTTTTCTTATGCAAAAGATGTTGCCACTCCCTCCTCAGTGGATAAAGACAGAAGACCATCTTTAAGCAGAGCATTATAACTTGTGCATACTAGAGGGCATGGGTGATAGGAAACAGAAGAAAGAGGCATTTAGTTTAAAGCCAGCTCCTTAACTGAAAAGTTGAAGGAAACTATTTATATGAGGAGCCCAGCTGTCTTTGGGGAAGGGAGACAAATTGCCCCAATTCTTGACCCCTAAGTTTTCTACCTGAACTTTGGTTTCAGGTAGGTTCATAGATTGGGTTAAGTAGTCCCGTCCAAGGCCCAGGTGCAAGCCATGCAGCAGGGCCCGTGAAATAAGACTGTAGGAGTGAGACTCATGGCTTGACCCTGAATCAAAAGGGGAAGTAGGGCCTGCTTAGCCCTGCAAGTCTGCCCTGAACCACAAGTCCACAGTAATGAAACTCACCTAAGATGTTTTCCAGTGACAGCAAGGAAGAAGAGCGATAATAAGTCCTGTTTATAAGTGTAATTTAATTCAGATATACAGTACAAAAAAGAAATAAGTGAAGCTAAAGGAGTTGTTGAAATTCAATATCAGGACATAGTTCTTGACTACAAGAGGTAATATTTTCTAAGAGTCTTCTTTAAAAAAAGTTTATTTATTTATTTAGAGAGGGAGAGTGCAAATGGGGGGGGAGGGGCAGAGAGAGGGAGAGAGAGAATTCCAAGCAGGCCCACGCTGTCAGCACAGAGCCCTACATGGGGCCTGAACTCATGTACTGTGAGATCATGACCTGAGCGGAAATCAGGAGTTGGATGCTCTACCGACTGAGCCACACAGGTGCCCCTGAAAGAATCCTTTTAGGAAACAACTTATGAAAAATACAAAGAGGTTGAAGTTGTGTTTATTTTTTAATAAAACCTTTATATCTTAGCTGATAGTAATTAACATCTTGCTAAGAAAAGATCAAGGACCTTATCGCTTCTGGCATTCCTCTTAGTAATGTTTATTTAGACTATTATTATAGTTTATACATTATATGATTTTTAACATTTATTTTCCAGCCTGTAGCAAAATCTCCATAGTAACTCCATAGTGTCATTTCTGCGTTTTTAACAGAGCCTTAACACAGCCAGCTTTCCCACTACAGTTTCTGTTTCTGAACTCTTTGCTTCAATCTCTTCATTGACTGATTTTTTTTTAAGATAATTCCCAAGAGGAATTCGTGAAATCCTTAATGTTGGTTAGATATGATTCACCAGGCACCATTCTGTAAGAGATATTTCATATTACCTGTGTCTTTTGCACCTGGACAACTCAAATTTTAGAGAAGTTTATTATATTTGGGGTCCTCCTTAACAATGCCTGAAAGTCCCTGAAAATTAAGTATATTCTCCTTTTTTATCTGATCATTTTTGGTACTTTAAAAAGAAAAAAAATATTGTACTGGAATTATGTAATTAATAAACTAGGTACAGTTTATTAAATGTCCTGGATACTTGGTTAACTCCAAGAGTCACATATGGGCCTGTATAGAAGACTGTTTCTGAGTTTAGCACCTTGTCTACCATTAATGTCGTTCCCGGCCAGTCTAGACCCTAAAGTGGGGGGCTGTTGTCATTAAAGACCCAAGTTGAAAAGGGGCAGAGCTGTTTATTATATGGAATGCAGAGAGTGGCATCTTCCCCTTGCTTCTTACCATTAAAAAAAAATTTTTTTTTCAGTTTATTTATTCTGCGAGAGAGAGAGAGAGAGAGAGGGGGCGAGGGGAGAGAGCAAACAGAGGAAGGACGGCAGGAGGGGGGGTGGAGAATCCCAAGCAGGCTCCGCACTGATGGTGTGTTGCCTGATGTAGGGCTCAAATTCATGAACTGTGAGATCATGACCTGAGCTGAGATCAAGAGTTGGGGGCTTAACAGACTGAGCTATCCAGGTACCCCTCCCCACTCCTTGCTTCTTATCAATAAAAACGATATTAGTACATTGCTTAGTTCATGCTATAGACCTAATGCTTATGTCCTCTCAAAATTCTAAATCCCCCAATGTTATGGTGGGTACTTTTGGGGGAGATTAGATCATGAGGGTGAAGCTTCTCATGAATGGAATTAACATCCTCGTAAAAGACAGAGAGCTCCCTTGTCTTTTCCACCATATGAGGACACAGTGAGAAGATGATGTTCCATGAGCCAGGAAGCAGGCTGTCACTAGACACTGAATCTGCCAGCGCCTTGATCTTGGATTGCCCAGCCCTGAGAACAGTGAGAAATAAGTTTATGTTGTTTATAAGCCACCCCATCTAAGATAATCTAAGACGGTTTATAATAAGCACTTAATGTTAGCTAAGCACTTTACATGCATCATGTCACAATTCTATCAGGTAAGGGCTATTGAAATTCCCGTTTGATAAATACACGAAGACTTGTTCATATTCATATACCTAGTGAATGACAAAGTTGCATTTGAACCCAGGCCATCTGACTTCATGGATCAGACAAAGGGAATCGTTGCCTTCTACATCCAGATGTTGGCCCCTAAACGGCACACCTCTGCATGTTCAACAGCAGTGGCAGCAGCTTCAGCAAACATCAGCATCACAGTTGCCATTCAGCAGATTGGAAATTACCAGAGTCATATCTAATAACTGCAGTGAGGTGAGTAGGAGAGGAAAGAAATGATTCCATGAACTAGACCAAGTTGCTTATGGAAAAATAATCTCTAGTCCCTCTTTGACCACTTCTGGAGGGTATGAAAAAACTGGAATTCCCAAAGGATAAGAGGAGCAGATCTGGGGAGATACAAAATTATGGCTGCTTTTGCCTATAGTGTTACCCTAGGTCTGGCTCACCTAAATGTAAATACATGCACCAACAGTTCCTGATACGTGTGAGCACGAAGATATGTAGACTATATATGATCACAAAGCTGTTGACTCAACACTTTCTCAATAGGGTGTTGGAAAAACCTGCAGCTAAAAGTAAGATAAGCAACTCTCTACTTGTTCTCTTGTTCTGGCTCTGATCCACCCGTTGATCCTTTTGAAGCTCTCATACCAGTCTTCACCCTCCTTGCTGGTATCATGCAGATTCATGCCCAGCTGGGAACTTCCTGGTATGGGGTGGGGTGGGGGTGGGGCTGCTGTGGGTGTGGGGAATAGAAACTGTATTAAATCTTCAGTCTGTCTACAACTGTTCAAGGTTCAGACTGAAACACCCGGAGTTTACATCTACGTCATGCTAATTGCTCTCTGCAAAATGATTTGCTTTTTTGCTTTCAGTGCTGTGGTGAGAGGGTTTTATTGATGGCCTGCTTTTATTTTTTCTTATTAACTTTTTTTAATGTTTATTCTTTGAGAGAGACAGAGAACACGAGCGGGGGAAGGGCAGAGAGAAAAGGGGACAGAGGATCTGAAACAGCCTCTAGCTGACAGCAGAGAGTTCGATGCCCGGCTCAAACCCTGAGAACCGTGAGATCATGACCTGAGCCAAAGGCAGATGTCTAACAGACTGAGCCCCCAGATGTCCCGATGACCTGCTTTTAGAGGGACGTTCCAGATGGAGTGCTTTATGACTCTTGCACTATTTAGAAGCAATTTACTTTAGTTGTTTGGGGTATTACTCAATGTCATTGTCTTACCCCCATCCCTATTGCATTATTTATAATTATTACATAGTTTGAAGCAAGAAATACATTTGCATATAAAAAGCAAATGGTTAACAATGAGGATTGGGAGTTTGATTGCTTTAGATTCTAGTCTAGACCCAGTTCTTCCAAACTGTGTGACCTCGGGCAAAATACTTAACCTCTCTAATCCTCAATTTCCTTGGCCGTAAAATGACAATTAAATGACAGCCAACAACAAATCCAGAAAGCCTCCCCTCTCCTTTATTTGGCATGTTTTAGATACTTACAAGGAGACACTTCCGTGTTATTGAAGATCTTTTTGGGAGGGGGTGGAGGAAGTAATGTTAGGAACTAATGTTTTTATCTGGGGTTGTGAGAAAACTTCAGCTCTCTGAAACTTAAAATTCTTTATGTTCTTCATTTACCAACTGCTTCTGACATAACATTAAAAAAATAGATTTTCTCAGAGATTTCACTGTCCATAACAAGTGATTTTCAGTCTGGAAATGATTTCTTCAAACAGAATTCTTGAATTTTTTGGAGATTTTTTTTTACTTAAATAAAAGTAAACAAGAATGAGGAATTTATTCAAAAGCAGATATTAGTGAATGAAGAACTAATGGCAGAGGGTTTTTTCCTGTTAAAGTACACATAACAGAAAATTTACCGTTTTTTTTTTTACTGTTTTTTAAAATTTATTTGTGAGAGAGAGGGGAAAGAGAACGTGAGCAGGGGAGGAGCGGAGGATCAGAAGCAGGCTCCATGTTGACAGCAGAGAGCTCAAAGTGGGCTCAAACCCAGGAACAGTAAGATCATGACCTGAACCGAAGTCGGATGCTCAACCGACTAAGCCACCCAGGAGCCCCCAAACTTACCATGTTTAAGTGTGTAGTTCGGCGACAACTAGTACAGTCACAGTGTCATGCAACCATTGCTACCATCCATTTCTACAACTTATTCATATTCCCCAACTGATACTCTGAACCCATTAAGCAATAACTTCTCATTCTCCCTTCCCCTGAGCCCTTTGGGCAACCACCAAGCAGATATCTTGAATAGTAGATATATACTTTTTAATGCCTATTTATTGTGGAGAGAGAGCAGGGGAGGGGCAGAGAGAGAAGGACAGAGGATCCGAAGCAGGGTCTGTGAAGCAGGCTCTGTGCTGACAGCAGTGAGCCCTGTGCGGGGGCTTGGACTCACCAACCATGAGATCATAACCTGAGCCAAAGGTGAACACTCAACCGACTGAGCCACGCAGGTGCCCCACTAATAGATATTTTTAAAGAGGAAGAACAGGATGGCACTTCATAGCTTGGGGCAGGCATTGCATTTCTACAGGGGCGGGGGTGTGGGGAGGGGGGGGGCGGGGGGGGGTCCTGTATCATTTCTAAACTATCGCACTGAGATGTTAATCTGGCTTCTTGGCATCAACACCACAGAGGAATGCCCAGTTTGACCTGAGCACCTGGCTGGGGGGTGGGGGGTGGAGGGGTGGCAGAGGGGGGCATACCATGCTTATGGTGTACAGCCTGGGGACCTGACCAAAGCCTCATCCCTTCCTGCTGCTTTGAGAAATCAGCCCTAGTCTTGATATCCTGTTTTAGGCCCTGCTCAACCTCTCATTCTTCCTCTGGAGCCTTGAATTTCAGGCCAGGGACTCCAGCTGGTTTAACACCTGCCTGCCAAAGCCAGCTCAGTTTCCACCCCACCAGGAATTTACCGTTCAGCAACCCAACCCTGTTTCCTCCAGCCTAAATACTGACCTAGTAAAGGCACGCTAGACCTGGGCGCTTATCTGTAAACCGAAGAGGGTGAATTAGGTAGTTTCAAAGGTATATTGCAGCTTTAAAGTTGTTACTCTCTGTTTAAGAAAAATAGTGGTCCTAATATAATAGCCTAGATAAGATTCTTCTATACAAATTCTCTCTCCTACTGGTATCGGTCATTTTTGATGTAAACATAAATGCTGAAAGCATTATATTTGCTTTGACAGTTCAGCTAATGGTCAGCAAAGGGTTAATGCATTTAGAAGAGAAGATAATCTGTTAGTCAGTACAAAGAATTTCATATCCTGAATATAATCCTGAAAAAATTGGAGATCTTTGAGGAGCCTTTAGCTGGACTATATTGTCTTTGTGTAAAATGGTTTTGGCTTTCACTCTAATACAGCTTTAGCCTAGGTGAGGGCTAGTCGCTTGCTATTTGATAGGGCTATTTGCATTTCAAAGCTAATCAGTAGTAAATAATCAACTGGTAAAGAAGAGTAAGAGGGTCATTGTGTGTATTTTATTATTGTGAAAAACATGCTGAGAGGCTGAGAGCTCACTAGAATTCTAGCAGATAAGAAAGTGGTTTATGTGAAAGGTCTCTTAATGGGTGTGTTACTCATTTCTTTCTGCTCACATGACTGCCAGGCTTTATAAGGAAGTAAACATAAAATGTGGAGAGAATAACCATGTTTATTTCCAATACAGACCTTATATTTTAAAAAGCCTTTTTTTAATATTTATTTATTTTTGAGAGAGAAAGAGAGACAAAGCGTGAGCAGGGGAGGGGCAGAGAGAGAGGGAGACACAGAATCCGAAGCAGGCTCCAGGCTCTGAGCTGGTAGCACAGAGCCCAACACAGGGCTCAAACTCACAAACCATGAGATCATGACCTGAGCCCAAGTTAGACGTTTAACCAATTGAGCTACCCAGGCGCCCCACAGACCTTATATTTAAGGTGAAAGCATCTCTCAAATCTAGTAACTAGATAGTTACTTTTTAGGATCTTTAATAGTTTGAATTAAGAATTATAATGTTTTGTTGACCAACTCAGACGAAAGTTGATTGTAACTCTAGGGGCAACTGGGTGGCTCAATCAGTTGAGCGTTCGACTTTGGCTCAGGTCATGGAAAAAAATTTTTTTAATGTTTATTTTTGAGACAGCCCAAGTAGGGGAGGGGCAGGCAAGAGGGGACAGAGGATCTGAAGCAGACTCTGCACTGACAGGTGGACGGCAGCAAGCCCAATGTGGGACTTGAACTCACAAACTGTGAGATCATGACCTAAGCCAAAGTCAGAGACTCAACTGACTTTGCCCCAACGTTAAAATAAAAAAATAAATAAATATATATATATATGTATATATATATATATATATATGTATATATATATATATATATTTCTAAAGACATTCTTATTTAAAAAAAACCAAAAAACAAAATTTGATTGTAACTCTAATTTGGTGGTTCTTAACCCCAGAACATTGGAATTGTAGCTGGGATGCAGAAGTGCAAGAGAACCTGGCTCTGTGCGTCCCAAACAGACCAGGTTCGTCACTTGCCTCTAACAAAATCCAAAGTCAGAGAAATAAGTGATGGTGAAGCAAGAAAGGAATTTATTTCAGTGAGGCCAACACCTGGAAGACAGTGGATTAGCATCTCAAAGCTTGTCTCCAAAGTGCAGGTAATACTTCCAGGTTGATAAAAGGAAAATGTGTGGTAATGGTGGGGGTGTACGTGCAGGTGGGTGGTAAAGATCAGGTAGATAGTTATCAATCACATGGGGTCTTGCTAGTTCAGTATGGTCTTTGTTACTTGAGGGGATAGTTTCAGTTCCCCTCGGGGGATACTTTGCCCGCTGCCTTTTGCCTGAGTTGTGAGATAAACTGGAAAGAAGAACATAATCGATTAGAAAGTTTGAGGTCAAAATGAAGGTAGTTGAAGTCCTCTTTTAGAATCATCAAGGGCAAAGAAAAATATCGATGTTTGTTTGCACCCCAGAGAACGATGTCATTGGTTTGGGGTGGTACCTGGTTGTCAATATTGTTTAGTAATTTTCAAGCGATTCTCCTGGGTTGAAGGTTGAGAATCACTATTCTAATTATCCCGAACATATCTTTATTCATGAAAAAACAATCCAAAAACAAAAGCAAAACTTCATTGACATTCCCAATGTCAGTAGCTGTGCTGTCAATTAAAAAATTTATTTTTAATATTTATTTATTTTTGAGGGGGAGAGAGAGAGGGCACAAGTGGAAGAGG